AGTCATCAACACAAGCCCGTTGTCGCGAAATCACAGAAGCAGCACTCCGCAAGCATGGCATTTAGATTTGTCATCATGCTGCCCGAAATTGATCATGTGCTGTTTCTGCCGGATTAGGGAAGGCAGATCGCCAGCATGGCAGCGGCCTTACCCAGGGGAGCTCAGAGCCTCCAAGTAAACAGCTGGGCTCCTTCGCACCGGTGGCCGGGTGTGGGGTGCTATGTGCAGCTTGGCTAGCTTTGGCCAGGTGCCACTCCTTGAGGCCAACGCGTTTCTGGAGGCTTGACGTATGACAGCAGGGCAGCCTTGCAGCTGCAAGGCGTGAGCTAACGCGCCTGCTGGGGAGTGGCTCAGACATGTGTCGACTCGGTTCGTTGTACCTGTCTGACGCATGTGGCGGCGCATGCCGCTCTTGTCAAAGAGCCGGCATGCAGGGAGGGGAGGCCATCGTAGCTATCGTCGCTTTCAGTGCTGCGTGAGGTCTGGTTGAGTCATCAACACAAGCCCGTCACGTTGTCGCGAAATCACAGAAGCAGCACTCCGCAAGCATGGCATTTAGTATTTAGATTTGTCATCATGCTGCCCTAAATTGATCATGTGCTGTTTGTGCCGAATTAGGAAGGCAGAATGCCAGCATGACAGCGGCCTTACCCAGGGGAGCTCAGAGCCTCCAGGTGAACAGCTGGGCTCCTTCGCACCGGTGGCCGGGTGTGGGGTGCTATGTGCAGCTTGGCTAGATTTTGCCAGGTGCCACTCCTTGAGGCCAACGCGTTTCTGGAGGCTTGACGTATGACAGCAGGGCAGCCTTGCAGCTGCGAGGCGTGAGCTAACGCGCCTGCTGGGGAGTGGCTCAGACATGTGTCGACTCGGTTCGTTGTACCTGTCTGACGCATGTGGCGGCGCATGCCATTCTTGTCAAAGAGCCGGCATGCAGGGAGGGGAGGCCATCGCAACCATCGTCGCTTTCAGTGCTGCGTGAGGTCTGGTTGAGTCATCAACACAAGCCCGTCACGTTGTCGCGAAATCACAGAAGCAGCACTCCGCAAGCATGGCATTTAGTATTTAGATTTGTCATCATGCTGCCCTAAATTGATCATGTGCTGTTTCTGCCGGATTAGGGAAGGCAGAATGCCAGCATGACAGCGGCCTTACCCAGGGGAGCTCAGAGCCTCCAGGTGAACAGCTGGGCTCCTTCGCACCGGTGGCCGGGTGTGGGGTGCTATGTGCAGCTTGGCTAGCCTTGGCCAGGTGCCACTCCTTGAGGCCAACGCGTTTCTGGAGGCTGGACGTATGACAGCAGGGCAGCCTTGCAGCTGCGAGGCGTGAGCTAACGCGCCTGCTGGGGAGTGGCTCAGACATGTGTCGACTCGGTTCGTTGTACCTGTCTGACGCATGTGGCGGCGCTTGCCGTTCTTGTCAAAGAGCCGGCATGCAGGGAGGGGAGGCCATCGTAACTATCGTAAACCCTAAACCCTAAACCCTAAACCCGTTTAGGGTTTAGGGTTTAGGCTTTCAGTTCTGCGTGAGGTCTGGTTGAGTCATCAACACAAGCCCGTCACATTGTCGCGAAATCACAGAAGCAGCACTCCGCAAGCATGGCATTTAGATTTGTCATCATGCTGCCCTAAATTGATCATGTGCTGTTTCTGCCGAATTAGGAAGGCAGATCGCCTGCATGACAGCGGCCTTACCCAGGGGAGCTCAGAGCCTCCAGGTGAACAGCTGGGCTCCTTCGCACCGGTGGCCGGGTGTGGGGTGCTATGTGCAGCTTGGCTAGCCTTGGCCAGGTGCCACTCCTTGAGGCCAACGCGTTTCTGGAGGCTTGACGTATGACAGCAGGGCAGCCTTGCAGCTGCGAGGCGTGAGCTAACGCGCCTGCTGGGGAGTGGTTCAGACATGTGTCGACTCGGTTCGTTGTACCTGTCTGACGCATGTGGCGGCGCATGCCGTTCTTGTCAAAGAGCCGGCATGCAGGGAGGGGAGGCCATCGTAACCATCGTCGCCTGCAGTTTTGCATGAGGTCTGGTTGAGTCATCAACATGAGCCTGTTCTGACAAGAGCCTTTTGCCAGCGTCACATGGTCCAGTCGCTGTCATTGCTCATGTTTAGTGCAGCTTGGCATTGCAAAGACTGGAGAAACTCGGTGCCAACATTAATTTCGCCTTACCCAGGGGAGCTCAGAGCCTCCAGGTGAACAGCTGGGCTCCTTCGCACCGGTGGCCGCGTGTGGGGCGCAGCATGCAGCCTTCGCTAGCCTTGGCCAGGTGCCACTCCTTGAGGCCAACGCGTTTCTGGAGGCTGGACGTATGACAGCAGGGCAGCCTTGCAGCTGCAAGGCGTGAGCTAACGCGCCTGCTGGGGAGTGGTTCAGACATGTGTCGACTCGGTTCGTTGTACCTGTCTGACGCATGTGGCGGCGCATGCCATTCTTGTCAAAGAGCCGGCATGCAGGGAGGGGAGGCCATCGTAGCCATCGTCGTTTTCAGTTCTGCGTGAGGTCTGGTTGAGTCATCAACACGAGCCTGTTGTGACAAGAGCCCTTTGCCAGCGTCACATGGACCAATCGCTGTCAGTGCTCATGATCAGTGCAGCTTGGCATTACAAAGACTGGAGAAACTCTGTAAATTCGCCTTACCCAGGGGAGCTCAGAGCCTCCAGGTGAACAGCTGGGCTCCTTCGCACCGGTGGCCGGGTGTGGGGTGCCATGTGCAGCTTGGCTAGATTTGGCCAGGTGCCACTCCTTGAGGCCAACACGTTGCTGGAGGCTGGAAGTATGACAGCAGGGCAGCCTTGCAGCTGCAAGGCGTGAGCTAACGCGCCTGCTGGGGAGTGGCTCAGACATGTGTCGACTCGGTTCGTTGTACCTGTCTGAAGCACGTGGCTGTGCGTGTCGGTCGCTCTTGTCAAAGAGCCGGCTCGCCAGGAGGGGAGGCCATCCTCGCTTCGAGTTTGAGGTCTGGTTGAGTCATCAACGCAAGCCTGTTGTCGTGACAGGCCAGAGAATGCACTCTGCAAGCACGCCGCTTGGATTTGTCATCATGCTTCCAAAGTTGGTCCCTAAACCCTAAACCCTAATGTGTCTTAGAGGTGAACAGCTTCGCTCCTGCACACCGGTGGCCGGGTTTTCGGAGGCTTGACTGACGCATGTGGCGGCGCATGCCATTCCCCTAAGGGTCCAGCTACCCAAATGGTATATACTTTGGCCGTAAAGTAGTTCCTACATTGGCACTATGGGGTCGAAGTATATACTATTTGAGTACATGGACCCTTAGGGTTCAGCCATTCTTGTCAGCCGGCATGCAGGGAGGCCAGGTCTCAGTCGTTACTCTTCATTGCGTGCCATTTTTGGTGCTCAAGAAACGACATGGGCCGGAATGCCGAGCTGCACCGGATGGGCCGATATTGTCAATTGTGATGTCGAGCAATAAGATCCCAAACTGCGGCTAGGGGTTTAGGGGTTTAGGGTTTAGGGCTCCAGTTGATATTTGCGATGGTTTCTTGATCCGCAGTGGTTCGCCAGGCGCGGACGGCTGCGCTTGCAGAGAAGTGTCGCATCTTTTGGTGACTGGAGCTGGAGACTACCATGGTAGCAACAATAGCAATAGTCGTGATATCGTAATTGACAACTGACAAAACCAACAGTAAGCATATCTATATGATATTCATAGCAATCTTATCCAAGTTCAAGATAGTAATTGGCTCGCAGTGTCCCGAAATGCAGGATGCGGGTCAACTCCTCAAGGAGCTGCAGACCTGAACTCTTAACGGTGTAGGCCGCAAACCTACAAATCTTTGGATTTTGGGTATGACTTTAGAATACCATGGAATATCTACAGTCATAAGGACCCTTAGGGGGGTGGGGGGGTTAAGACCCGTAATAAGGAACTAAGAGGAAGTATAGTCCCCGTCCCCCTTGCCCTCTAAGGGGCCGGCCCATGGAGGGTTCCGGAGTGTACATGTACGAGCCTCTAACAATCTCCAAACTAGGGCTGCTGATTCTGTCTTAAATACCAGCCCGACACGCTGGAGTTACCGGTGTTTAGGGGTGCACTAGGGTTTAGGGTCTAGGGTTTTAGGCTGGTAATGTCCTTGCTTTGTTGAAGATGTCTTCTGAGGCCGGTGGTTGTAGATTAGAATAATTGGAAGACTACGGAGGCCATGACCCTAAACCCTAAATTGGGGTTTGGGGTTGCAGGTAAGGCTCACGTTCCCTCCCAAGTTTAAAGTTATTTTAGTTTCGGCTTAAAGCTGAAACGGAGGGCGCTTGGCAACGGCCTTGCATGTTGTACTCATAAAAACCTTCGAAACCGTAGACTTGCACCGTAGTGCCCTGTGCGGCACTAAACCCCTAATTAAGGGCTTTTCACAGCCCTCTAGTACTGTAGTAAAACCCCTAATCCCCCAAACCCAAAACTGCCTAAAACACCCCAAACCCCATGCCCCGCAACGTACATCCGAATCAAATAACCACAAAAACCGCTTAGAAGAAAATCCGAAGGGACGCTTATAGATCCATCCTCTCTAAAGCATCCCTTCAAATGGAAAGCTGAACCCTATACCCTCAATCGTGTAAAGCAGCCCCTGAACAGGAACCACACAGCGGAGCCAAGCCCGACCTCACCTACGCTCCAAGCCCATGTACTCCTAGGGTTCTTTTCACAACACCATGAGGGTACCTTAAGCCAAGAGCCATTCAGAGTGTAGTTTGGGTGACCCCAAACCCCATTGTTTGGTTACTTGGACCCTGGATGTAGATACTATATACGGGACTACTCTAATTTAAGGCCAGTTACACTAAACTAAACCCTAAACCCTACACCATACTATATGGGTACCCGGAGCCCTAGTGCGGAACCCAGCAGCACCCAGCCGCACAGCCCACACTGTAATGGTGGAGACTGCAAGATCTACTATAAATCCCATATTAGGGTTTTGCAATAAGAACCTACAAAATAGTGGGTTTTGGGTTCTTAGGGTAAACCCTAAACCCTAAGCCCCAAATGTCAAACCTCCAGGTGGCCGTATCTGTTGCCGCCTTCTCCGTCCCTCAGCTCATCTTTGCGATGGACTCGCCCGGATCCCGCCATGCCAGATCGGTTAGTGTCGGTTTAGGGTTTAGGGTTTAGGGCATGTCTACTTTGTCATAGTTGGGTAACATTTTACATTTTGTAGAGGTATTTAAACCCAATAAGGAACATAAATTTACATTTTTAATACTATACCAACCATGAACTAGTCTAGGGATTAGACATGTTTAGGGTTTAGGCTTTAGGGTTGTTGTGGCTTTGGAGTTTACTGTTTGGGCGTTCAGTTTCTGAGTTTCACTCTTTCGCGTTTTGGGGAACACGATTTTATAGACGGGCGTAGTTCAGAGCTTCTGGCGGTTTAGGGTTTAGGGTTTGGGGTGCTGAATGGCTTTATTGGTCTGTGGTTTCGCAAGTATTCCCTCTGTTTCTGGGTTTTGCTGGTGTTGGACTGAAATGTTATGGGTTTAGGGTTTAGTGTTTAGGGTTTCGGTGTGATTTGTTCGGGAATCTGTACCCAAAGAAGGCCAGGCTGCATTGAAGCAAGAATACCTTAACTCCCAAGTACCCGCCTTTTTAAGCACTTCTTCTAATGTTGCAAGGAACCCTAAAGGGTAGGTAAACCCTAAACCCTTTTTGGTACCCTTCTTGAGCCGTTTAAAGGAACACCTTTTTCAAAGAGATCCCGATAGCTAGGGGTTGGGAAAACGTTTAGGGAGCGGGGCGAGTGGAGTTGCGTGGGTAGTCATAAAGTTGTTCATGTTTTTAAGGTTTAGGGTTTCGGTTTAAAGTTCAAACGCATGTTTTTAGGGTTGGTTGAGGGTTTAGGTTTCAGGTTTTAGGGCATGTCTTTAGGGTTTGTGGATTTCCAAGTCGGGTGCCTGTGGAGCCTTGACGGCATCACGGGATATGAAGAGGAAGCCACCCCATGTCTCAATCGCAACTGGTCAACAGGAAGCGACGTTCCGATTCTGAGTTTCTCGTTTTGAAGGATCAGGAATCGCAGTAAGCAGGTTACGGGTAAAGTGGTGAAACCCTAAACCCTAAACCCTAAAACCTCTCAATATCGAAACATACCAAAAGAACTGAAAACATCAATCCCTGGCTTCGTCTTGCCCGTAGAGGGCTGCTCTGAACAACATACTAAAGATTACCTATACTATTCTGGGGGGGGTCCTTCTTAAACTTATAGTATAGCATACCCCAAACCCTATCATAATTGTGAAGCCCCTAAACCCTAAACCCTTTATAGTAGCCCTTATAGAGCCCCTTTGAGGAACCCTTTAAAGGACCCCCCAAAACCCTATTATAATTATGATCATGAAGGCCCCTACATTACAGCTGGTCCTGGAAAACCCCATGAAGTTCTGGGAAAGCTTCAACCCGTAGGGGTTTAGGATTTAGGGTTTCGGGTTCAGGGTTCAGGGTTTAGGGTTTAGGGCTCAGGGTATATAGGGTTTAGGGTTTATTAGGGTTTAGGGATCCCAGCAACGCCTTTCATCTTCTGAGGTTCGCCGGAGCCGGATTGTTTGGGCCTCGACTTGTTTGACTCTTGGGAGTTTCAGAAAATAAGGGACCCTGATATAGAACCCTAAGTAGTAGGATCCTAATTATAAGAACCCCAAAATGAGGTACCCTAGTTTTCTGAAATGCCTTCTTGAGGCCCAGTGAGTTCCGAAGCTTTTCCATTTTAGCGTTCGGTTCAGGGTTAAGGGTTTAGGTTTAGGCTTCAACCCTACAAAAAGGTTTATATTATGGGGTCCTAGAAGGTAGCCCCGCAAAGGAACTATATAATGGATACCGCTCACGGGCGAGGGAAAGCGCATGGAGATGTCGCAGAATCTGGGGCGGTCCGTCAGCTTCGGGGCAGCGACTGCTGAAGTGGCTGCAGAACGAAGGGTCCGTGAATGAATCCATTGTCATGGAGTTGTGGGAGCGTCGCAGCCCCGGTGCATCGTTTGTGCATCTTCTGCTACTGCTTTTCCCACTGTTTCTCCTGTGCTGATCCCGAGCAATGAAGTGGAAGCGAGCCACGGTTCACGCCGACCGCACGTTCACCGTCATGTGTCCTTTTTTCCTCGCTGCTGGTGCCCTGCACGTCGAGGACCCGCTATATGGGTACACCCTGAACCCGAAAGAACCTAGCCCTAAATCTAGGACATTTTCAGGTGGGTAGTTACCGTTATAGCAGCCTTATAGAAGGTCTATCTACCTTATAGCAGCCTTGTAGAAGCCCTATATACCCTAAACTCCCCACCTGTAGTTTCCTTTAACTAAACCGCAACGCCCTACACCACAAGAAGCGTTCAGGCTCTAGGAGTTGGGCCCAAAGCGCTGGACCCCAACTGAAGCCTTTGTACAAAACACGTTTGAGTACATCTCAAGATACACAAGTATACATATAAATGCAGATATGCTTAATAGAGTATTAAGCTATATGGTTTCACGTTATACTCTACTCTACTATACTATACTATGCTTTTTTATATTGACATATGTACATATATATATATATGAAAATGTGTGTGTGTGTATATACTTACATAAATACATACATACATACATACATACATACATACATACATATATATATATATATATATATATCAATGTAGGTACGTATGTCTGTCTGCCTGCCTGCCTGCCTGCCTGCCTGCCTGCCGGTCTGTCTGTGTGTCTGTCTGTCTGTCTGTATGTATGCACCAACAAGCTCTAAACCCCGAAACCTTACCAGTAGCTCAACACACTTTTCTGAGGATCTAAACCCTAAACCCTAAACCCTAAACCCTAAACCCTAACCCGAAAAAGGGTTTGGGCTGCAGGTAATCTAAAGCACCCAAGAGATCCCCAGGCTGTCCAAAGCCCCTCAAGTAGGGACTTTACCCTTAAAGAATATACCGTAGATAATATTAGGGATCCTGTAATTTAGGGTTTGGGGTTTAGGGTTTAGGGTTTAGGGGTTTAGGGTCTTTAATGTATATTCCTTACTTCAGGAGTGGGTTTGGGAGTCTCGAGGCGGGTAGAGTGAAGGTTGTCCCCAAGGGTGCATGTACGCAAAGCGTATATACTTTGGCCATACAGTGGTCCCTATGTAAGTATTTTGGGGCCAATGTATATAATATAGGGCCTTAAATAATTACCCATACTATTTTGGGGGGTTCCTTATTATACAAGTATAGTTTAATATGCTACGTACAACCTTGCTACACACGCTTAACCGTCAATCCAGACCCAAGCTTCCAACCGCACAGTCCTGACGACCAGCTCAATCACCCAGCACTGCTTCCGCAGCTCGGGTTTGTGGTTTCAGGGATTTTAGGGTTCTAGGATTTTAGGGTTTACGGTTTTGGGTTTAGGGTTTAGGGTTTAGGGTACCGTCGTCATGGTCGTGGTGGCGCTCTATCGTTGTTTGGGATCGACGCTGGCATACTTTGCTTGGTGAAGGATTTCGGGTCTTGAGACTGTGGTTGAAGAGATAAGGGACACTAAGACAGACCCGAATCAGTCGAATCTTGGTTTTCAAGGCCTCTAAATGATACCCTTATCTCGGGTTTAGGGTTTAGGGTTTGGCCCTTATTTCTATGAACATTTCAAGCCGAGTGCTGCTAACACCGTATATAAGCCCCATCAAGGCTCATGGTGCCTAAATATAACCCCATCCTTGAATGAAAGCTGTCATCGAGGAATCGCAGACGAGATTCAAGAGAGCCCCCAACCCCAAAGCCTAAACTTGGTCTGCCGTTTCGATTCCCAGGCCATACCACCTGCTCTTTGAATCCAGCTGCGTGGAGTTGCTGAAACGGAGCAGCTCACAGAACATCAGCTGGGGTCAGGCCCGAAAATGTAAAGACTTTGGGGCGTCGGGCGTAGTCTAGGACATGTTCAGGTTACCGTTATCGGAGCCTTATAGAAGGTACCGTTATCCGAGCCTTATAGAAGGTCTATATGCTTTATAGAAGCCTTATAGAAGCCCTATATACCCTAAACTCCCCAGCTGTAGTTTCCCTGAACTTAGAGGGTTTATTTAGGGTTTTGGGCTTATGGGGTTTAGGGTTTAGGCTTGCGGAATTTGGGGTCGGGCCCCAAGAAACCACCAGAGCAACAACTAGGATAGGCATATCCCATATACGGTTTAGGGTTTAGGGTTTAGGGTTCATTATAACACAATGAAGCACACGAAGGCACGGATTTCCTTGTAAAGTGCGTATGCTTGGGTGTTTGTGAAGGTCTGCATAACATAGAAGGGGGGGTTTGGTGAATGAAGGTGTAGGGCTTCGGGACGAACGAGGGGTGCAGAGTTAAGGGTTAGTTCAAGACGACAAAGAAACCCGAAAACCTTGAACCCTTAACCCCAATAGGGACTTATTAAGGGTTTAGAGCTTGCGATTCTTTTCAAAGCGATATAGAAACCCGAAAACCCTAAACCCTAATACAGCTGTTAGGGCTCATCCGCGAAGCATACTCAGACCTCGACCTAATTCCATCCTAGAATATGCCGGGGGGTCAAGCGCTACCCCTTTTTTTAAGGTACTTTATGACTAGGATCTGTAATATAGAAACGTAGGTACCCAACAAAGGGTAGGGACCGATGGTCTCCATTGCAGTTCCTTGAAAAAGAACTACAATGGAGACTATAAGTACTCATTATGGTGTTTAGGGTTTAGGGTTTAGTTTTTGTCATCTTACCTCCGTACCGCCAGGGTCCAAAGGACCGGATAGTTGTTGTGCAATTTGTGCAAGTTAGTATTTGGCGAAGTATAGGATTCTTAGGTATTTGGGCACTTACTGGCTCAGATAACTGGCGTCTTAACCAGTGCATTGGTTAACCAGAAAAAGGACTACGTTGCAGGGCAAAGGTATAAATCCTGTACCCACAACCTAGGTCATCGATCCTCAAACTGACCCTAAGCCCTCCCCCCGCTAAACACTATATCCGAAAACGCCTCTACGCTCGAAGCCAAACCCTAAACCCTACAACCCTAAACCCTAAGCCAACCAACCAACCTAAAACCTTTCGAAGAGAAGCGAGCATCGGCGGAATCCGGTCACAGGTTTTTGCCAAAGACCGTGCGGTAATGTAGGGGCCTTAATAATTAGACTAGGGTTTTCGATTTTCCTTATTACAAATATAGTATACTTGATCCCCAAACCTTATTCTAATTATTAAGGCTCCTATATTGGGGAAGATGGTGGTCCCAGACTTTGTAGTGGTTTAGGGTTTCGGGTCTAGGGGTTTGGGGTTTGGGCTTGAGGGGTTTGGGGTTTGGGGTTTAGGGTTTACGGGTTTGGGGTTTAGGGTTTGGGGGTTTTGGGGTTTGGGGTTTAGGGTTTACGGGTTTGGGGTTTACGGGTTTGGGGTTTTGGGGTTTAGGGTTTGGGGTTTGGGCGTTTGGGGTTTAGGGTTTAGGGTGGCCGTCAAGAATCCACCAATGTGGGTCCCCAGAACTTCCAAAATCCCTGAATGAAGGAATATTTCTTAGACTCTTATAGGACCCCCTAATATGATTTATGGTGTACCTTAAGAACCCAAAACCCACTTTTTTGTAGGTTCTTACTATAAACCCTAATATGGGATTTATAGGGACCCTACAAAAAAGTAGGTTTTGGGTTCTTAAGGTATTCCTTAATTAAG